AGTTTCTGTTATTTATTTACCTTTTCCGAAATCGACAAGACATAGTAACCCATTTCCAAAGCAGGTTGTGTTTGAGCAAGAACCACTGCTGTTCGGCTCAATTCAACTAAAAAACCAACCAACAACAAAATAGCTTAAGATGGTTCATTTGTCAAAGGTGGTGAATTTTGAACCCTACTTAACAGCATGCACCAGAAGTTAGAAGCATGACTTTCTAAAATCAATCTTAAAGCATCAGTCATCAACATCTTACTTATACAAATGTATGACCTCTTGCAAATTCCAGCAGGCAGGAAACAAGTGTATTTAATAGTTATAGGTGGCACCAATTGCAGATAGAATGAGAGTAATTATAAAAGATTGTTCCACCATGTATGACAAATAACGAGAATGCATTGACAGCGTAACTTAAGTCAAAATTGTACCAAAAGGATTTTAAAAGGAAGAGACAACTAAAATGGAAGATATTGGCCTTGCCAGCAGAGCTAAATAGATGTAAAAAAAATCTGTGTAGCAGCCATAAGTAGTTGGAAAAGGGCCTTCTAAATTGAGATTACTGAACTGGAAATAAAACATAAGATTAGGAAGTTCGGTTGAATTCTCCTTCCAATTGCACGAATAGACCAATTATACATGGCTGATTTGTCCCCCTCAACTGAGGGGGAAAAGGCCAATTCTAGACTAAACATAACTTTTCAAACAAACAATTAAGACATATTTCTATTGAGCTGATTCAATAATCTCCTAGAAAAAATCCAAAACAAAAAACTCAAGCACAATAAATTTAGGTAGTACGAGTTTAAGAGGTTTGGCCGTAATTTATATATAAAAGTGAAGCCATAAAATTGCAAAGAAAAAAAAGAATCGGCTGCCTAAAGAAACAGATGAGAAAATACATAACCTTTTGGCAATACCACTTGCGACATACACAGAGATAGCAACCAAGTAAAATGGATGACAGCTGGATGTCTTGCAAATCCAATCATCCAATGCCAAGTACCAGATTCCTGCAACAAATTGATTACAAACTATAAGCAGACAACACCTCTGTCTTTCTTAAATTCAGAAGTTAAACATACAATTATCCACAACTGACCTCCCACTAACCTTAGAGAGAGAGATATGTCTACAAAAACTTTAAATATAAGTACCTCTGTGTAGCCTAGACTGATGATGTTTGAGAATAGTTGTGCCACAGTAATTAGCAAACAATGGACACAAAAAAATAACACAAGAAAATGGGTACAAAAAAAGAACACAAGAATGTCTAGCAGAGAGAGTCCTTGTCTCCCGGTGTAGCGTGGACGAGTCTTGTAGTAGAGAGCTACTGATTTCCCGGTCTTTAAGTATACAGTGATTAGTGCCGATGGAGATATAGCAAGAGCTGATGTGACTACACCAACAATGGATAAGGCATCAGCAAGTAGAAGTGATATCTTCAGCCCATGCCTGTCATTCACCCATAATTGGTAGGCCAACTAAAGCTCCTGCACCAGCAACACTCACTATAATCGCCTGTGGTCAACCAATGAATATTGTCTACTTGTGATGAAACATATCCGATCAGTTTACCTAATAATTAGAGTAAAGCAATGGCGAGTAGCTAACCCGTAACCAGGGGTGCTCACTAATACGTGTGGAGTCATTTCTAATATAAGGTAGTGCACTAGAAATAACACCTACAATACAGTAAGCAGTATTGTAAACAATTAGAATACTAACAAGGTGATCAAATATTCGACTGAAAATTAAGCACTAGATATTTTAAGAGCGGAAATTAAATATTACTTGTAAATTTGAGAACGAACTTGTTTGAATTTTGTTTAATTGTTTTATTTACTTAAAAAATTAATTGTTCTTTTTAGTGATAAGTGAAGTTTCTTCACTTAAAGTTTAACCTCATTTTAAGTTAAAATTCATTATTCTAGAAGATATCCAAATTACACTGCAGGTTTTGAGAATTTCTAAACATACCCATAAATTAACAGAGTAGAGTTATTAACACCTTAAAAACACATGATTATTTTCCACTTAAACATTCAGTAATGAATAACGACCCATACGGTATTACAGTTATCACATGTTCCTTCTAATTCAGAACAATAAAACTGGTGAGAAAAACAGATATGGAAGCATATAGTTTCTTTTATTTACCTTTTCCGAAAGTGATGAGACATAGTAACCCATTTCAAAAGCAGATTGTGTTTGAGAAAGAACCACTGATGTTCAGTTCAAAACAACTACACAACAAACCAACTACAAATAAGCTTAAGATGTTTCATTTGTCAAAGGTGGTCAATTTTCAACCCTACCTATCAGTATGTATCAGAAGTTATAAGTATGACTTTCTAATAAATTGTATATATAAAAGACCTTTTGGACATAAATATGTATATAGACGGACTTCAAATTTCAAGCTTTTTTGTCTTACTAATAAATTGTATATATAAAAGACCTTTTGGACATAAATAGATTGAAGTTATAAAAAATAATAATCTTTTAAATTTGGAGGATATATAAGCCATCGGACACACAAGATATATATAGTTTCTTTAAAAGACCTTTCAGTTCCTTTTTTGGGTTTAATAATAATCCCTCATCTATGAATATATATATATATATATATATTTTTTATGTATATATTCATTTTTTATATCCAGATGGATAATATTTGAAGTATATACTGTAACGCCCTAAGCCACATGTTAGGCCAGTGGTCTCAAACACACAGGAAATAGAGAAGGTAGTGTCATTATAAGTTTTTTTAATGTCATTTTAGAGCACGTATGTATATAGTTAAAATATAATTTTTTTAAAAAAAAATAAATAAAATAATCAATTCTCATAATGTTTGGCAAATCCAAAAAGAAAGAAAATAATATATTTCACCTTTTTTTTATATGTATACTACGTGTATATATGTGCATGTGACGGTTTGCATATATGTATATCAGATAAAACTGAGAAAATGAGAATAAAAGGGGAGAAATAAGAAAAAGGTTAAAGGGCAATTTTGTTTTAAAATTTTATATTTTTAATTTTCATAAAAAGATTGACATCTCATAAATGAACGTGTAATTATAGAAATTGTTACCAACAAGAAGCATGACTATAACTAGCACTCCTCAAATTTAACATACTCAATGGGAGAGAAATGAATCAAATACTCCGTGCATCATTATTTGCAAGACTATGATACAACGTAGTCTGCTTTGGTACATTATGCTTCCCAAAAACAGTTACATCCTGTGCAAAACGTCACAATATCAAAATGCAAAACCATGGGACAACCTTTAAAAAGATTTGCTATTACATCTAAAATTAACATATTTATATAATTATTATATTGTTGATTTAAGATTATTGTATTTAGCATTTAAAATCGTTAATTTTAAATTGTTCCATGCATATTGTAAGGTTATTCTTCACATGTTTTGACTTTAAAGTTCATAGAAATTCGTGTTATGTGAGAACTAAGATAAGGCAAAGCTAGGCTATTGAAATTTGAAAGAGAAAAAGATACAAAACAGTAGTGACAAAAAGAAAGCACAAAATAAATCACCTAAACACTAGTCGTCTTTCCATTTTTCTTTTTCCTTCCATTCATATTCTGACAATTCAAGAGAGAACATTTTCCAGATGAGGAACTATGTGTGACAACAATAAATCACTCACCCACTCTAAACATTATTCCTAGCCAGCCAATATATAATGTACATTAATTTGTTGTCTTGGACATTACTCATTGATTTAATTGGTAATGTACTTAGCTTTTAGATCAGGTATGTCCAATACCCTCCTCTTCCTTTAAAGAATTAAAAAAATACTCTTAATTGAATGAGGACTTAACTTGACCAAATAATGCTCAGTTTATTAATTCCATCAATACTCCAGAAACCAAGATTGAAGTAGTGCAGCAAAGTATTTTGGCTAAGAAAAAAAAAATATTGTCAGCATGAACGAAAATACCAAAATGACAAAATTTAAATCAAATATAATGAAAATGTGGCAAGAGCGTGCGTGAAGTTCATTCAAAATGCACACACTTAAAATAATGTCACCACTCACTAGTTAAAAGTCAACAACAAAAACTCATTTAAAGTGGACAACCACTGTGAACAAACTGGAGGGCTCTGGGTCCCTTGACCTTTCAGGTCCACAACTAAAGCCTAGGAATGAATGAGATCAGGTGGTCCACAGCTTTAGTGTACTTCATATCACAAAAAGCTCTCACTCCACTTGATAGACACACACCACTGAAAAGGGCAAATTAAAGAGCTACTGTTCTAAGCCTCTGAGACCAGCATGGATGGTCAAGATTAATTAATTAATATAAGTTGGAATAGGGTACTTATGATCCTTTGTTGCGCATGCTCTGCATTAAAGTGAGCTAAGTGGGGCTCAGTTAAACTATCCCTCCTCATCCAAGCAATTCTTAGGGCCAGAAGTGTCCACATCCGATGAAAAGTAAAATAAGTATATTAGGTTGAGTGTGAATTTTATTTAATAGTTTAATCTTATTCAAGTACTTGGTCAGAATGAATTCGGTATTTGCCCAAGTAGGTAGAGTGACATGATTATAATAAGGGAACTATGAATTTAGGTGGTGTTAACTCATTATTAACTTAAGAGGTTAGAGATATAAATATAAAAAGTTTGAAAAAAAAAAAATATATTGGGAGGGCGGCCCCTCCTAATTAAGCCCCACTTAGCCCTGTCCTTCCCTGAAAAGATTCTCATTTTAACTATTAATCAATACATTATTCACAGTAAAGGCCAATAGATATTTGAGTTAATTAACTACGTACATTATATATATTAATTAAAGCAAAAGCTCGCATCAATGTTCTCATTTAACTAGTAGGACTAGTGGCTTGACAGACTTTGCACTTAAAAAGCACCAGCATGTAGAAATTTCTCCCTAGATGACGTGGAGGTCACACTCTATATATATTAACATATAGGAGACCGATACAGATGGACAGACTGATATATATATATATATATACACACACATATTATAAGTTTGGGCGTCACGGACTCACGGGTCTTGATTCTCTCTTTTACATGGCAATCTGTTGCGCAACAAACTTCACACCAAGTGCCCAGTTTTATATTCTCCATTACTCTGTTACTCCTTCGTCCTAAACTGCTCACTCTCTCTGGCCAACCATGTCAGTCTCTTGTTATTCTTGTAGTTTTTGGTCCATTCTCATCCCTTTGCTCTTATTTCTTATAAATATCCTACGCACCTCAAACTCTTTATACACGCCTACCACCAACACCACCAGCCAACTCTCCATCAACTACTACGCCAAGTCCTGCCCCCAGCTCGACCAGCTCGTGGGGTCTGTCACCGCCCAACAGTTCAAAGAAGCTCCCATCTCCGGACCCGCCACCATTCGGCTCTTCTTCCACGACTGTTTCGTTGAAGTAAATCCCAATTCCACATAAATTCATAATTCACATGCATGCAATTAAGCGCATTTTAGCATATTATATTATATTTTGCTATCATGCACCCAGTGACCCGCTAAACTGGTGCATTCATCAATTTTTTTTTAGTTTCTTTTTCTCTTGTTTTTGGTTCAATTGATCATTTTTTCGCATGGTATTATTGAAGGGCTGTGATGCATCAATATTGATTTCAACTACATCAGGAAGCAAAGAACTAGCGGAGAAGGATGCGCAGGATAACAAGGATCTAGCAGTGGAGGCGTTTGATAGCATAAAGAAGGCCAAGGCATTGGTGGAGAGCAAATGCCCTGGCGTTGTATCCTGTGCTGACATTCTAGCAATTGCAGCTAGAGACTTTGTTCATTTGGTAAGTGAGTGGTTATTTAATTTTCTCCTCATGCAATTCATTATATATAGTAGCCTCAAATTAATGCTATTCATAGAACTTCCACACACCACCAATAAATTGTGCGTGTGTGCATTCATGTCTATTTATGTGCAAGTGTGTATATGTGCAATTTTCAATACTTGCGTCTGACCAATGTACTTATACATGTGATGGATCGATATTCATAATTATATATGTGTCTTGAGTCTTGACACTAGCTAGTTAGCTCCCTCATATGGTTATATTATTATATACCTGCGTTTCAAACTAGGAATAATGGCATTGTAAACCTAACTAAAAAGAGAGAAGCAAAGTTAAATCCTAATTAAATTTTGGTGGTGGAATATACCTAATACCTCACAATAATGCCCAAGAAGGAAAAAGCTACTGGGAGAGTATTTTATCCGGTGCCATGGGACATCTAAGATGTGACCTCTACAAACAGCGTAAATAACCTTTATTTTATATGGAGTGATCTCTATCCTCTTCTACACACAAACGTCTAAATTAAAGAAAACTCCACATAAAAAAATGTCCTCCTATATCTTAAAAAATAAAGAAGATGACATAAAATGGAAACAAGCATTCCCTCTTATCATGTATAATATTTCTTAAGGGAAGAATAAAAGGTTGCTAGTTTGTCATATTAAAGAGGACCATTTATATATATATATATATATATATATATATATATATATATATATATATATTATTTGCAGAGTCGAATCTAACACATCAGCATTAATTTTAATGTCATGACAACTCCAAGGTTCGGCCAGGAAGTAATACAGACAATTTAATCTTACATTTTGTCAATTAATGCGGATAACGTTATGTATAATTATTTCCTAATTTGATGGTGCTTCTAATAAAATAAATAATTAAGTAAGTACATTTTTGTTGATTTAATGCGGTGTAGGCAGGGGGTCCTTATTATGAAGTGAAGAAAGGGAGGTGGGATGGAAAAATATCAATGGCATCTAGTGTGCACTCCAATCTTCCACGCTCAAATTCCAGTGTCAATGACCTTCTTAAGCTTTTCAGTTCCAAAGGGCTAACGATGGACGATCTAGTCGTCCTCTCAGGTGCACATACCATTGGCTTCGCTCACTGTGAACAATTTGTATCCCGGCTCTACGACTACCAAGGCACCAAGCAGGCTGACCCTGCCTTTGATCCGAGACTCCTCAAGGCCTTGAAAATGTCATGTCCACACTACGGTGGCAATGCAGATGTTATTGCTCCTCTTGATGTAACAACTCCCTTCTCATTTGACAATGCTTACTACGGAAATTTGGAGTCTAAGTTGGGGTTGCTAGCCACAGACCAGGCTCTATTTTTGGACCCTAGGACCAAACCTTTGGTTCAAGTTCTAGCTAAGGACAAACACAACTTCTTCCAAGCATTTGCAACGGCTATGGACAAAATGGGCTCAATTGGTGTGCAGAGGGGAACAAAACAGGGGGAGAAAAGGAAAGATTGCAGTGTTCACCCATGACCATATATATTTGCTTCATTTAATTTCCACATTGTTTATTTCTCATTTCCATTGTGTGTGTGTGTGTTTTTGAGGTTTTGGATTGTTTTTGGTTTTAGTAGTGTCGTGCATTTGCAGTAGATGAGGCCTTGTATTATAGGGTTAGATTTTCTTTCATACAAGTGGAGTGAGGGTGCTTCACATAAAAATAAATAAATAAATAAATAAAAAATTACATTAGTCTATTGTTTTTAAATATCATTTAAAAATTATAATGTGATTGGTGGTTTTCAATATCATTTATAAATTAATCTTGATTGTTTGTCCATGCCAGCTAAAATTAGGAAGCTGTCCTCTCACCTCTAATAAATATAAAATAATTAATGCAGCTGGTTTATATGATTTGGTTGGAGAACAAATGAACAATTGAAGTACAATTTTGTCATTGTCATTGATTTATTATAATTATTTTCTTTGGGTACCACACCTCTTGTACAAAGAGTGTACTTACACCTACCATTCCAACTCCAAAATCATAACAACAATTCATAGTAATTGCAAGTTGCAACAATAACGGTCACAAAGCTAATAACCATAAAATGTTAATCTTGAATGATAAAATCAATTTTAGATCGAACTATCTCGAAAAGAATGTAGTATGCCCTTTCTGATGGATGTATGGAATCCCAAAATACGTATTTAGACGCATTAGTGCACACAAATGATTTCGGATTGCATAAGTAAGATGCTTCCATTAATCCTGTCCCACAGCAACCACTGCTAACCTCATCAAAATCTGCAAATGTATCATATATATATATTAGCTTATAAATCTCTAATCTTAATTGATGGACTTGCTCAAAGTTAATAAATAATTTTTCTTATTGTGATCCCATTAATCTTTGTATAATCTAATTCTTTCCGTAAAAGGAACTTGAGGTAGGGATTGTGGGCTCCATTATCTCTAATTCAACAATGTCAAATTTAAAAAGAAGTTGACATTCCTTTTTTGATGAAAGATAAAAATTTCTTACCGTACTTGCGACCTTGGATCATATCTGACAATGGTCCATACACGTCCAAGTAAACAATCCGAGCTCCAAATTTTGCTAAGCTGAATTGCATGGCATTCAACTGATTTTCAAGCATTAAATTGTACATCGTAGCAGCAGAGGAGAAAATTTCAAAACAAGCACGTTGTTGAATGGGGCTTTCTGAATTGAGGGTGATGACAATAGGTAAGCAACCCATTGGCGGTAGACCCACGAATGCAAATTTTCGAGCCCCTTGGTCCCACAATCCCTGAAAATCACTATTTATGAGTGATAATAATACAGGTCTAATTACTAAAAATAAATTTAATGAGAATAATGTACATGTTGGATGGGAGACTACGTGTGCTCCCTAGCTAGTGAACTACTGTAACAAAGGTCATTTGTTCCACATCGAAATCAGATGGGAAAGTGATTGGGTATAAATGGGTGAATATGCAGCACTACCTAATAGTTCGAGTTTTTGGGTAAATGGACAAGCGCCCACCCGTTACAATTGGTATCAGAGCCAGACTCAATCCTTAATCCGATGTCACGCCAAGCACTCGGCCCGGAAAGCGTCCGAGCTAGCATCCCGGGTAGGCAGGGTGGCCCGAACCGCAAACGAGGGCGTTACGAGTTTGGGTGGGGGAGAATGTAACAAGGGTCATTTGTCCCACATCGGAATCGGATGGGAAAGTGATTGGATATAAATGGGTGGGTATGCAGTACTACCCAATAGTTCGAACTTTTGAATAAATGGGCAAGCGCCCACCCGTTACAACTACCATATTAAAAATAATAATAATAATGTACGGAAATATCAAACCTGCATAAATTGCTGCACTTGCTGCAACAAGAATTCCATGTAACTTGGGAGGGTGTAGCTGTTACGACGGATTGGCATGGCAAAATAATTGATTACAAAATCATTTGTACCCGCACTGACAAGGTAAAATGCATTTTTTATCAACATTTTGGTTCTTTTCTTCCCAATCAAGACCTCCAATCTTGCTCGATACTCCTTGAAATACTCTAATTGCTTTGACACTGGGATTACATTCTGAAATCAAAACAAGTTCATGAAAATTTCAACTTTTAATAAGAAAAAACAAAAGAGTTTAAGAAACACATGACAATTCAAACCCCAAAAGACTATGCTACAATTAATTTGCTTCATAAATTTTCTCAAAATATATTAATTTTATACATTCAGAAAATATTTTTCTTTTCATTATTGTATTTTAGGCAATTGATAACTAAAAGCAATTTGAGAAAAAGAAACTAGTTTCAATATTAATTGCAAGAACTTATACTAGTGTATGAACTAAACAAAATTAATCAACCGGACTGAATTTAAGAATAAAAATTAACCTAAAAAAGAGTACGCATTTAAGTTATATACTTACAAGTTGATATAGAAATATTTTATGTATCACCAAAAATAAAAAATAAAAACAGAAACACAAGCACAAGTGCTAACATACAACGTAAAAATATATACTAGTATACAATCCTTAAAAAGGAAAAGAAACAAAAGCTAGTGTCAAACTGTACAAGATGGAAGACCTCATTGATCAATGCATATACTATATATATAGTGTTAGTTGCAGCTAACATAAAGAGAATAAATGCCCGTGTGTGTACGTACGTATATGTGTGTATGTATATATATATAGAGAGAGAGAGAGAGATGTAGAAGGAGAAACAGACGCTTATTCTTGGTGTAAGAGGGTCAAATCCAGATCCAGCTGAGGCAAAACTAACTCCAGACATTAGCTCCTCAATGCCAAGTGTTGGATCCAAATATGGAGGCACATACTCTTTTATACCCACATAATTAGCTGCACTTGAAATTTAACACAACCATTAATTACATGATTACAAATCACTTTGAGGACTTTGATCTATCAAACGTACGTACTGCACAGAGAGTCTAAACCATAAAGACTATGAAACGACTTTTAACTCACCGATAAAATCACCGGCAAGCCGGCCATTAGAAAACCTTCCGGTGGGGTTTTGGTTGGCGAAATCTCTTCCATAAGGTAGAAAATTGCCCTTAAATGGAGTAGCTATGTAGTTATTGTTTCCGGGATCAACGGTTGAGTCTCCAAACACAAAAATAGCCGAGACGGTATTGTTGAAAGGTTTTTGCTTGGCTAGGGTTTGTGCATGAGCTTCAGGTGCAATGATGAACATGTATACAAACAATGCAAGCTGGTAAAAATGGTGAACATGAGCTGAGCTCATATTGGCTGGTTATGTTGAATGTAGTGAAGTATGGTGTGACCTAAATTTTTATGTCTCTTGTAGTGGTGCTATGTTTTTATGAACTGAGGCGCATTAATAAAAAGTTGTACGATGAAAAAGACTATTGAATTGTTGTCGACTCTTAATTGCTTTGACGTAAACAATACACTACTTTTTTTTCTTTTTTTTTTTGCCCCTTCTTTGACAGCACTACTTTTATTGTCAAAGAGTTGATATGGTTGGAAAACCAAACTCTTCCAAATAAGATAAATTTCTCAACTATCTTTGAGAATTAGATTCTTTCGTAATGATGAGAAGAAGATAATCGACATATGGTAAAACACGATTGTATATATCCACGCTTGTAATGGTAAGAGCTTTCATTCCTAAAACCATCGCCTCTATCCACCCTCCGCCACCATCACCGCCACTCCCCACCGCTTCTCCGTCTCAATCTCTCTGTTTCCTTTTCTTCTCCTTACCATTATTGTTACCCTTCATTCAAATTCAAAAATTGTTAATGGAGTGGACAAATATTTTTTTGTATAAACTAATACTAATAATAATTTTTTATTTTATTTTAAAATTGAGCTAAAATTTACTATAATAATAAAAGAAAAATTATTTGAGGTGGGGGACCAGTGTCCCCATCCTCTCTCTATCTCTCTCCCCCACCCTAATCCATGGGTGGGGGACCCAAGTATTGTCCTCCCAAGGGAGGACCATGACAATCACTACATGTTCGAGTGTTTGATAATGTAAAATATGATAATCAAGGAATGTGTTAATGATATATGTCGTTTTTTTGGGTCATATTTCATAACAATCAATAAACCTATGTTGTAGGTGTACATTTTTTTTTTTTTTTTTTTGTGTGTGTTTGTGCACTCTCCGATATGCGAACACATAGAACATTAACTAACATGTATTACTGATATACATTGTTTTTCAGTTGAATTCCATGACGATCAATAAACCATTTTTATTTTTTTTGGTTGGTTGTGCACATGTGCGAACACATACAACATGGTATCACGTTACACGTGCTATCACATTTTAAATTATAAACTGATTGTGTGGGAAGTGGGAAGTCTCTCGTTGAAAATCTTTTGGGGTAATTAATAAAGTATTACCTCTTTGAACTTAACGTAGAAAACTCTGATTTTTTCTTTTCGTTTTCCTCTTTGACACAGAGTGATGGAATAGCCCACAACCACCAGAATCCATTTGCTACCCAATATGGACCTAAATCATTCCGTGCACTAGTACGCTTTCAGGTTTCACCGCATTTACTTCAGAATTTTACCACTTATAATAACATTAAACGGTATTTTACCATTTACATTTTAATTTTTTATTTCTTGTTTGTTGAAAGCATGACAAATTGATGTCAAAGTTGCGTCTTTGTTTTTTTTATTTGAAGTTGATAAGCTGGTCGAATTTTCCGTTAAATATAAAAGTTAAAGTTTGACCTTTGAATCTGAATAAATAAATAAAAAACACGGCCATAATGCATTGAAAGAATGAAATTTTCATCACTAATTTACCGTACAAACACAAACCTGTAAGAAACAACAACCCAATCACACGCAATTAAAAAAATTAAAATAAGTCTATAATAGTTTGAGAACCCATCCTAACACTTAGAAATCTAACTTTTTACTCAAAACTAAGGATTTGAATCTAAGTCCATAGGTTTACCTCAAGCTAGTATATCTCGTATGAATAAACATGAGAATTTCGCCTCAAGTTAATATACCTCATATGAATAAACATGAGAATTTCACCTCGATTTGACCGATGTGCAAATCTTACCTTCTCATAAAAAAACTGTTTCCAAGAAACAATTTTATCATTGCGCCAAGACTTACCACAAACCTAAGACATCTAGCACAGTGATTTAATGAGTAAGAAAATAACATAGACACCTATACAAGACTCTAATCAGATTTTATTTTCACTTAAATTCCATGTTATAATTGTACACAATCTAAACCAGTCATTTATTTTTTGTGTATTGACATAACTCTTGAATGCGAATTTTGATGCTGCAAAATTCGGTAATTAATTGTTATGTTTTTCTCAATATACCAAATTACTAATGATTTTCCGATGTTTAGATGTGAATGAAATCCCATTTTTAGGGTTTTTTATAATATATATATATATACACACACATCATTAATGTAAGCAGGTGACTATTTTATTATTTATTTTATCACAGTGTCCGGATCAAGCCCAATTTATCAACTTCAACACACCCCGACCACTATCAAGGGGTTTGGGAAAAGTTAAGAAGGACGACTTTTCGACCATTGTGTTTTGACAAATAATAGTCACTCTAATAACTAAAAATTGTCCACTAGGACTACTGATATGTGTAATGAAAGGTAAATTCATCACAAAAGACCATTTAACCATTTTTAATTAAATTTATTATTTATTATTAAATTATTTTTATTATTTTTTTTATTATCTAAATATTAATTATACCATTTACCTTAATTTTATTATTAGTATATCAATTAACATAAACATCGGAAAAAATTAAATAGGTTTGTAACTACCATTTTCTTAAATGATTAACTTATTATTAGTATATCAATTAACATAAACATGGGAAAAAATTAAATAGGTTTGTAACTACCATTTTCTTAAATTATTAACTTATTATTAAAATTTTACAATTTATAATAAAACTTATTATATTCAACTTAAACTTTTTTAAAGTAAAAAAAATACCTTCTTTTCCCTATATTCATGAATAATATATTACTTAAATATAATATACCTTCTTCTTCATACAATAAATTCATGAAAATTTATAAATTACTTAAATTATTTTAAAATTTTCTACTTAATAATTTATTTTAAAAAATAATTACAAAATTAAAGATAAATTCATGCAAATTTAGTGGAGAATATGTCTTCAAATTAGTATGAAATTTTTTTTTATTTTATTTTTAATAAAAAAAATAGTTTAAGTGTAATTCAATGGATATTATGATTATTAATGAAAAATAATCTAAACATTGAACATTTTGCAACAAAATGTAATAGTTCACAAATATTATACACAAAATATAGTTTAAGGAGTTTATATACAAATTTGAACATAGCTGATTTTTTTGGACTTTATTCAAAATAATAATAATAAATAAATAAATAAATCGATCCCATAATACCATAACAAAGCCATAACCTATGGCTCAAATGCGATTTATCTTCTAATACAGAACTAATAGAACATTAAAATGCAATCATTGTGATGGAAGGTTATGCCACACAGAAGCAACAATGATGATATAGATTGTATGCATCACAAGAAATTTTAAATTCTCTATACTTGTATAGAGTTGTATAAAATACCTTGAACTACTCTAGTTATAGATGTCCTAAATATTCTTTTGGAGCATTCCAGAACCCTATTCTAGAATTCTCCCCACCATTGGATTGTTGACATTTATATAAATTGTAAGGCCTGCTACTATTTATAAGAGAATTCTCCCAATCATTAGATTGTTGACACACAAACAAATTGTAAGCCTGAGACTATTTATATGTGTGAGATCTTATTTTCTTCCTACAAAGCAAACGAGTTGTAGCAAATGAACAGAAATAGAAGTGTTAAATAGAGAAGACATTTAATGCATAAGATCAAATGTTATTTGCAACTTGACTTTGTCTTCAATAGCGAAAGATAGGAATGTAGTCAAAATACTCCTCCATCCCCCCTTGATTTGTAGGTAAAAAATACATCCTATAAGAAACAAGATAGATGTGACATTAAATCGAAAATATAAAGAAAAAAAAAAGTTAGATTTTAAGTGTTAAGATACACTGTCATATCTTTTTTGTTCACAAACTATTATATAGACTTCATTTAATTATGTAAATGCATGATTGGATTATTTCCTACCGGTTTATGTTTGCATGATTTCTCTATAATTTTTAAAAAGTCTTAGTTCTTTGTTATTGAATATTCGAACCTAATGGATTGAGGATACCTTAAATTTTAAATTGAAAGGGAGCCTTAGCGCAATGGTGAATAACCTACGAATTACAGAAGTAAGGTTGCATAGATCCCCTTGTCTGGACTCTGGCTTTGTTTATTCAAGGAGAAAATATGCTTCCATGTTTGGTCAGTCAGGTGGGCTGAAGGTTGGATATATATAAATAAACTTATTACGTATTTCATTATGGGAGAGATCAAATATTTTGTAGCTACCAGTGTTGGTGGCTGTGGCTATAGAGTGGATTTGTAATGACGCTTGTTTGCTAAGCTACAACTGTGCATAGGTAATGAACATTAGAAGCATTGGTAGAGCATTCCGGGCTACTAGCAACAGAAATCATCCTTCCTGGGCCTGGCCCAATCCAATTCAACCTCTATTTTATTTTCCGGGGCTTGGATTTAGACAGGTCACCTGGAAGGATTGACTGTTTAGCCTGTGATAGGCCCAGTAAAAGTTTTTTTTTTCATTTATTCTATTAGAGCAGGTTTTATAGGTTACCTCAAAAGAAACATGATAGTTTTGGGTTGGTTTTGTTTTAAAAGAAAAAGGGGAAGTAGAGCATTTTCTTTGTGATTGTAATGACTTTAGTATGAGAGTTTTAAGAGGTTTCGTCAAGTTTACAAATAAAAATTAAGACATAAAATATATCTCTATTTTTAAACAAACAATTAAAATATATCTCTATCGACCCAATTCAATAATCTCCTCCATGCGCAGAAAATCCAAAATGAACAAATGAGCACAACAAATTTAGGCAGTACGAGAGAGTTGAAAAGGTTTTGCCAAATTATATATATATATATATATATATATACAAGTTAAAGACATAAAACTGCCAAGTGTATATATAACACTTGGGACATTCAGGAAGAGATAGCAACAAAATAAATGGATGAAAGCTGAATGTATGTTTGATCACCAACTATAAGCAGAAAACACTAATCTCTTTCATATAAGGTAATGAACTAGAAATAACACCTACAATACAGTAAGCAGTATTGCAAAAAATTATAATCCTTAAGAGGGTCTGATCAAATATCATTAGAATTGGATGTTGTTCGATTGAAAATTAAACACTAGATGTTTTAAGAGTTGAATATTATGTATGTCAATTGGGAACGAACTTATACTTTTGAATTTTTTTATTTACCAAAAAATTAAACACTAGATGTTTTAAGAGTTGAATATTATGTATGTCAATTGGGAACGAACTTATACTTTTGAATTTTTTTATTTACCAAAAAAATTAATTGTTCTATTAAGTGATATGTGAAGTCTCTTCACTTAAAGTTTAACCTCATTTTAAGTTGAATTTGTGATTATGATTAT